TTTTCAGGCCAGGAAGATTGCCTGAAGATTTCATTTAACCAGTTATATTAAAATTCAAATTACATAACGGTCAGTCTATACTCAGCACCTGAAGATTGCGTTGAGCATGAAACTCCGAGTCGTGCTAGCGATGAGATATAATATAGATATTTATTAATGTATACTTGTTTATCGATGTTTCAGATTATTTCCTTCGTTTCACGTACATATTCATAATATATTTTTCCAATGTCTGAGTACCTTTCGGCCGTTGTTCGTCATCATCAAAGATTTTTTCTGTTTTGTCATCAGTGTCAAATAGCCTCTGACAATAGTCTAGCTCCAAACTGGAGAATGGCTGTAAGCGGAAAACAGGCACCTCGTAACCAGATACTTAGGGCAGATGAATCTCGACAGCCGAGGAAGGCATTCCATCTAAGGGAAGGAGGAGCCTGATTTTAAACATCCACTGCCTTGTGGTCATATCCAAAACACGGAAAAAAAAACTATGGAAGTTAATCCAGACAGAAAATCCGGAGTGGATCCCCGAAAGCGCTTGCCTGTCAAAACCAACAATTTTCCGGCAACTGCTGCAGCCAATCTATCCCCAAATGTAACGCCCTGTATTCCTGTGGATCGGTACGACAGAGAAGGTGGAGCATGTAGTCTGGGTAGCGCCCGGCCTCTATATACCATCACAAGTCAAGGAGAAGGAAAAGAGCGAATTCAAACCACCTGCAGCCTTGTAGGTCTTGCCTCTTTAACTCCTGAGAGAAAGCACGCAGTAACCTAAACACCCCCCGGTTGCAAAAGGAATCAGCACAGTTATTGCACTATGCTGCCTTGAATGTCCCCATGAACCACAATTGTGAGATGATGGGGAGTGGTGAACACAGTGGCACAAAATGCGCTGAGTAAATATCGCATTTCGCGTGATTACTTTCAAATATCGCGTTTCACGATATTTGACAATTCTAGTCTTCTTTTTTTTTTTGTTTTAATTTTAGTCTTTCTTTTTGTTTTAATTCTGGTCTTCCATTTTTTAAAAAAATATTTTTAGTATATTACGTCCTAAATTTGATGTTATTTCATTGACGTTGTTTTTTTTTTATGCTTCACGCAGTTGAATTCATTTTTTACACTTTATGTGTTATGGCAACTTTGTATTATTGATAAGAATTTGCCTGATTTTTTGTGTTTTTTTTTCTTTGAGCTGATCAGCGATATGTGATTTTAAATGGGACAATAAAATAAATTACAAGTTAAAAGGAGCGATAATATGATAGTTGTAGAACCAATATACTTATTGTCTGACTTACTTTCTTTTAGAGACGTATTCTCAAGCGGGCAAGCGAACAACATTGGTTTGTTGAAGTTTTCAACTGTGTTTTCATTTTGTATCGTTGACGAATATATATATATATATATATATATATATATATAGAGAGAGAGAGAGAGGGAGAGAGAGAGAGCGTGTGACTTGTAAATTCTCAAAAGATTGTATAAATTCACTTTCCTCGCATGTTTAGGTTTTATTACCATTCTAATTTTCTAATCATCACATTTGAGAACAATAAATATTACTGAGCAGTGGAGTTAGAAAAAAACGGTATCATGGGCAAACCGTACTTTTAAGAATCCGTCTTATTGCGGGCATGTAAGTCCATGTTTTTCCAATAGACTTTGCTACCCATAATGCACCATTGGCCAGCATATATAAATAATCGTGCCAAAACATCACACCAATGGCCGAAAGATTCCATTCAAGCATAAAACAGACGGCCGCTGCGTGTTGACTTTACTGTCCACTTTTTATAAATCTATCTATCTATCTATCTATCTATCTATATATATATATATATATATATATATATATATATATATATATATATATAGCTAATATTAGTGGTAAATATACACATACATAAGTATATATACATAGGTGCATACACATACATGTATATTTTTTTAATAAAAATTCAAGAGGATAGAATCCAGGTAGAACTCAATGTCCAGGACAGAGTAAGGATATAATAAAATAATATATAATATATATATATATATATATAATATATAATAATAATAATAATAATAATAATAATATAATATAATATATAATTATATATATATATATATATACGTGTGTGAATATGTGTGATTGATTGATTCATTTGTTTTTCACGGTTTATCAACCTTTTGAAGAAAAACAAATAGCCAGAATATATTTTTAGATCGCAAGAATTCTTTCTTTTTTTAGATAATAATGTTTTACTAATAGAAGTTTTACTAATTAATCCATAGCTGGGTGTGGGAAAGAAGTGGATTCATGCCTTTCCCAAGGGTATTTGCGCGTAAGGGAATATAACAAAACCGACCGGATTGGAATTCTGAGCTGTTATCAATTGCAACACCCGCATATCCAGGTTTACAGCTCTTGGTATTCTCAAGCGGTTACCTATCGAGGTACTGACCAGGTGTGTGTGTGTGTGTGGGCGGGGATTGTTCGTAAAAGCGTTGGCCTTAGATGACAAACCTGGGGTGGAATATTGATTTCTCCTTAGAAAATAGCGCTGAACTTTTATTTGGGTCTCTTCATTTTATTCCAGTCGCAAACAAATGGATCCAATTTCTCTTCAGTACTGGAATTCTGTGATGTATTTCTTTTTTTCTTGGAGGTATTCATTTCGAGTGTCTTCTGACATTTCCAAGTTGAACCGATAGCGAAACCAGAATAACTATTCTCGACGGGGAAAGTATGTTACATCGCGCCTGATATTTGCTTTGTCCGCATCTCTTCAAATTCGCACAAAGACAATGCAGCGGCGTAGCAAGGTGGCAGCAAGCGGGCGGGTGTCGCCCCCAGGAGCAGATGTAACAATGCAGCCGCGTAGCACGGTGGGAGCAAGCTGGTTGAAGTCGCCCCCCGCCAACCAGGCGCAGATGTAACAATGCAGAGGCGTAGCAAGGTGGGAGCAAGCGGGTTGAAGTCGCCCCCCCACCAGGCGCAGATGTAACAATGCAGAGGCGTAGCAACGTGGGAGCAAGCGGGTTGAAGTCGCCCCCCCCCACCAGGCGCAGATGTAACAATGCAGAGGCGTAGCAACGTGGGAGCAAGCGGGTTGAAGTCGCCCCCCACCAGGCGCAGATGTAACAATGCAGAGGCGTAGCAAGGTGGGAGCAAGCGGGTTGAAGTCGCCCCCCCCAACCAGGCGCAGATGTAACAATGCAGAGGCGTAGCAAGGTGGGGAGCAAGCGGGTTGAAGTCGCCCCCCACCAGGCGCAGATGTAACAATGCAGAGGCGTAGCAAGGTGGGGAGCAAGCGGATTGAAGTCGCCCCCCACCACCAGGCGCAGATGTAACAATGCAGAGGCGTAACAAGGTGGGGGTAAGCGGGTTGAAGTCGCCCCCCCCCAACCAGGCGCAGATGTAACAATGCAGAGGCGTAACAAGGTGGGAGCAAGCGGGTTGAAGTCGCCCCCCACCAGGCGCAGATGTAACAATGCAGAGGCGTAGCAAGGTGGAGCAAGCGGGTTGAAGTCGCCCCCCCAACCAGGCGCAGATGTAACAATGCAGAGGCGTAGCAAGGTGGGGAGCACAGCGGGTTGAAGTCGCCCCCACCAGGCGCAGATGTAACAATGCAGAGGCCTAGCAAGGTGGGAGCAAGGTGGGAGCAAGCGGGTTGAAGTCGCCCCCCCCCCACACACCTGGCGCACATGTAACCTGGCGCAGATGGTGGGGGAGCAAGCTGGTTGAAGTCGCCCCCCCCAACCAGGCGCAGAGGCGTAGCACGGTGGGAGCAAGCTGGTTGAAGTCGCCCCCCCCCAACCAGGCGCAGATGTAACAAGAAAGCTTAATTTACGGCGTATTATAACCATGACTACCAGTTTTGTAAACTAATAAAGCTTTTTTGTTTGTTTGTTTGTTTTAAATATATAAACCTAAGTAAATCTGTAAGTAATTTCTCTACTTGTTTCATAAACTGTTGTAGGGTACCTACGGACGATAATGGGTATTTTCATCTGTACTGGTCAAACTCTCTGCCCCCGGACAGAGAAGATCCCCAGATGAGGCTATGTCTCCAATATCCGAGTTCTATTAAGTTTCTGGTGTGAGATTGAGTTCCCATAGTTCAAGGCAAGGGAATAATTATCACCCACAAGGCAGCGTGGACGCTTTTCCATAAAACCTATAGTAAAACATTTCAGGGATGACACAAGTGGGGGCACCAAAATTGTATTTGTACACGGGCTCTGAAAACCTCTGGTACTCCACGAGAACAATGGTCTGCGTGACGAGCATGTTTCCTGCTGTTCAATGGCAGAGGTCTTTCATTAGCCTCTTGAATGTTATCTCGGAAAGAATTCTTCTATACAATGCTCACTGTTTCAGAATTATTCGACCAGATAACAATATCTGAACTCCAATCAGTTAAAGACATCCGAGACGTTATTGGGAATTAAATATCTTTTGTAAGTTCAGGAGATGCGGTTGTGTTAATAGTCTGTGTATACCTGTGTGTGAACGAAAGATAGAATGTATAAGTTGGTCAACATTCAAAAGAATTAGACGGTAGAAAGCGGATCCGGCCAAGGGTTTTTATTTTATTATTTTTATCTTGCTTGGTCATCATGATGTTGCATTAATTCTTTTGCGAAAGACTTGAATTATAACCTCACTCTACTAATTTTATTTATTTATTTATTTTTACATTGCCTTCTCTTTCTTTATTTTGAAAAGGGTGTTGCTATTTTTCTTGTTGTTTGTTTTTTCTTTCCTCTGGCGCTATCTTCTTGCTTTTCACATCTTAAGAAAACTTTCTCACGAACAAGAAACAATATAGCTTATGAACGAAAATGCGAGAGACAAAAAAAAACGATACAACTTCCTCTACCTTCAATACAAAATGTGTCAGTCAAGTTTCTGTATTTATTACGAGGGTCGATCAAACGGTGTCCATGCTATAATTTAATATTAAAGTATTAAAATACCGCTTTATATTTATGGCTTACAGCGACATCCCGTTGACACGCTGGCTCTCGTCCGATCAACGAAGTTAACCAACACTGAACGTGGTCAGTATCTAGATGGGTGACCGTCGGGAAATACCAGGTGCTGTAAGCTTAAATGTCCGAGTGGTGTAATGGATAAAGGCTCAGAATGAGAAGTTCGAATTCCAATCGGGTTCATTATATTCACTTACGTGCAAAAACACCTTGGAAAAGGTATCGATCCAACTCTTCTCCTCACACTTATGGGTTAAATATTGAGCCTGGTCAGAACCAAGATTGATGACAGCTGAGAGTGTGGGGGTACTTTTGGCGTGGATTTACAAGTGTTGTAGTAGAGCGAACAATCATTTGGACAATTTATACACATAATAACTTCCAAAAAGAAATCTCTTGTTTACATAATAAAGAAAATTAAAGTAAAAACTTAACAGAAGAACCTTGTCAGTTATTTTTCATGTAACATGTAGAGTGCGATTTCTATACAACTATATATATATATATATATATATATATATATATATATATATATGCACACACACACACATAAATATATATAGATAGATAGGTAGAGAGAATAACTTCAAGAAAAAAGAAATCTTTTGTTTACACAATAAAGAAAATTAAAATAAAAACAGAAAAACCTTGTGAGTTTTAATGAAACATGTAGAGTAAGGTTTCTATCCAAATACAACTATATATATATATATATATATATATATATATATATATATATATATATATATATATATATATATATATATATATATATATATATATATATATATATATATATATATATATATATATATATATATATATATATATATATATATATATATATATATATATATATATATACACACACACATATATATATATATATATATATATATATATATATATATATATATATATATATATATATATATATAGAGAGAGTTGTGCATTTCATTAACGAAGACTGACAAGGTACTGCGATTAAGTTTTTATTCGATTTTTTCTTGTATTCAGATAAATATTTTCTTCCTCTCTCGCCCTTCTCTCTCTCTCTCTCTCTCTCTGTGTGTGTGTCTCCCTATATATATATATATATATATATATATATATATATATATAGACCATTCTTTCACTCACGTGGTCATGTACGACGTCATAGAACTGCATTAGGAATTAACGACCTGTATCTGCTATTCTGCGACCGTTATTGTCAAATAGCATACATCTATGCAAACAAAACAGGATGTCATATTTGAAACTAGTCATTATACGACGCTTGAAAAAGCTCACGATAAAACATAATAGAAATTACTTTTCTGTCATATTTAACAATATATGTTTGAATAATGATCTGCTGCCCCTATATATATATATATATATATATATATATATATATATATATATATATATATATATCATGAGTTGGCTTCATAAAACGAAGATCACGAGGAATCTGCATACGTCGCTTGCAGGTACGTTTGTGACTGATAAGTCCAATGCAGGACAGGCATACTCGTCGCAGTAGTTGCAGCTAAACGTCTGGCCTGGGCTCGATGGCATAACGTTGCAGCACTTCCTTCTCTGCCTGTTGTCACTGAGAGTCGCCCTGCAGTTATTTTCAAAGAGGAAATGATTGGTAGACGCGAACGTCTCCCTCAGGCATGCGCAGTGGAGTTTTTACGTCATATATAATCCCAAAATGATCATGCCAATAATGAACTACCTGCAAAAACTCCTAACACTTTAAAGAAAAGAATCACAAACTAAGTAAAAAAAATGCAAACTCCTAACTAAGCAGTAAATTTAAATGCTCAACGTCTAGACTGTCTAGACAAGCAATAAACGTTTCACATGTTTGACACGTAGACTCACTCTACACCTTTCTGACAATAGCTCAATTAGATCTCATTTAAATATTCATGGAGACCTACAGGACTCTATTCGTAACATACTTATTGACAAAACAAATATAATAGCATCATCTACATGCAAAAATGGCTAAAAATAATGGAAGACTTATTGAAAAACAAAAACAAAAAAAACACTTAATAATATTAACTATGAATATGGACATAATATCTTGACCGTGTTTTGAAAAATGAAAACATTTTATAAAACATACATACAACAAACTATTTCTTATTTAGCAGTTAAAATATTTCATCCTTGAAAATGGCTAAATGTATAGCCGAAAGCGCTCGGATAAAAAGAACATTCGGACAGTTTTTATATAATTTATCGTCAAAAAAAAAAAATATTAGATCGCATGAGAAATTGTATAAAAAACTAAATAAAAGCACCTTGTCTGTCGTATTCGATGAAATGTGCATATATATATATATATATATATATATATATTTGGTATGCTTAAGTTTACAGGCACTCATTAGTATACATATATATATATATATATATATATATATATATATATATATATTTGGTATGCTTAAGCTTACAGGCACCATATATATATATATATATATATATATATATATATATATATATATATATTAATGAGTACCTGTAAATTTAAGAATACCAAATATATATATAGATGTGAAAAGAGTTAGTTTGTAGGATAATATTTTTTTTTATTCATTGCGTTTGTCAGGAGGGGCCGTTTTTCTATATTCGAATATTTCATGAGTTTTTTGTATTGCGCTGAATATAAAATAATGACGTTACTAAAGAAGTTCAAATTGTTTTCAATATATTTTCGTGTAAACATTAAAGGTTGCACATTCTGTGTGCTCTTAAATAGAATCCGATGATTATACCAATTATATTATGTTCTTGTTATGATGAGAATAGACATTTATCAGATCGATTTTGTTCGTTGATTTCCGCTGGACACCTAATTTTAAATTTTTGTTAACGCAGTGTAGGAATCTATCTAGGAAAAGTAAGGAATCGTACGTTTTCATTATGTATGAAAATTCTACTGTACGACTTTGTTTAGTTTATCTACTAGGTCAGGTAAGTCAGCATCATGAGTATACATTAATAGAGCATCATCAATATATCGGAAGTATATTGATTGTTTGGGTTAAATATTTTGAAAAGAACCAGATTCAAGGATATTCTAAGATGAAACATACCAGGACTTTACTAAGAGGCGATCCCATTGGTAATCCAAATTTTTGTTTGTAAATTTAGTCCGACGAAGTCCTAAAAGACGAAACACGTCACAGGAAAACCTTTCCACTTCGTCATACATTTTTCCCATATATATATATATATATATATATATATATATATATATATATATATATATACTAGCTTAAGAGGCACCTTATCGGGCGCCGTTTTAAGCTAAGCTCCTGCAGGGGGGTCTTGATTAGACCTTCATCACAATAAATAGGAGTAGATACGATAGGTAATAATATACTACAGAGGAAGTCAAAATAAATTGCTGCATTCAAGTATTGTATTAATATTTAAGCTTACCTTTTAAAAAGTTCAACGAGAATTCTTCTGTCTAATTTAAAGATTTGATGTACGTAGGTCCTTACTTTTCAATTATTTTTTATTTTACGGGTGACTCTCGCTGGAATTGGCAATTAATTTCGATTATTCCCAAATTTATTTCCAAGTTATAAAAATTGTTGTACAAAAAAAATCGTCACAAAAATCACGTAAAAAATCGCCAAAAACAATCGTAGTAATGAAAAAATTAATCCAAAATCCAAAAAATTAATCCAAAATCCAGTAATCCAAAATTTCCGAATTGCGGGTCCAGATCCGGTCCGGAATATTTTTAATTTGTTCATGGAGTCGGCCTGATTCCAAAATGATATGAGATTATGGGGAACGTACGACCTGTAAGAGCAATTTGGAAAAGACGGAAAATTTTATTTTGAAACACTGTACTTTGAATACAGTATTTTTTTTAATAGAAAATGAGTTATTGAAAGTTAGAGTTGTGTCCCTTTAATTGTTTTTATCAGTAGAAGACAAGATGGCGGAATCCGAAAACAATTGCTGTAATGTAAACTTGGGAATCTAAAATTTCAGGGTTGCGGGTCCGGATCTGGCACAGAATTTTTCATTTGCTCACGGAGTCGGCCTGATTACAAAATGGTATGATATGCTGGACTATGGCATCTAGGGAGTAAAATTGAAAAAGTGTGACATAGTGACACACTGACATTCGCATTTATTATACATGCATATATATATATATATATATATATATATATATATATATATATATATATATTATTGGATAGATGTATATACGACACATTTTATATATGCTGTCTCTCCACATTCCTAGCCTCAAGCAGACGACAATCAGTACGTGCCATATTTAATCTGATGCTCCCTCGTCCCACCTTCGCCATGTTGGAATAGCGGTGGTAGGGAAAGGTAGATAACGTTTTACCCCTATCAACGTGAAAGAATCTCTGCCAGCGGCTATATTACTTATTTAATTGCCCTGTGTGTGTTTTCCCGCTTTAAGTCATGCGACCTGTTTTCACCTGATTTTGTCTTGTTTTGGGTTTTTTTTTAATATTCGTCTCTCAATCCCCACCGCGACTCGGCGATGACGTGTCTTCTTGATTCTTCCTTTTTTTTTATTCCGAACAGTCGAAATGGGAAAAAGAGTAAAAGGAAGCAAATGTAAGAAGATGAAAAAGAAAAGCCGAGGTGTTAAAAAAAAGAAAAAAAAAAAAAGAAGACATATTAGAGAAATGGAAAATGTATAACACTAAATGTAGTGTTGTATCTCGGAGAATAAAAAAAAGAATGCAAGGGAAATCTGAACATTTTTTTTTAATTATGCGAACTTTTCAATTCAAAGAGATGTCAAAATCAAACAGGAACAGAAGTTTAAAATATCTGGTGTTTTAACAGACGACGGAAAATGTGACATAGAAATTCGAATGTTCATTCGAATAACGAAAGATACCTTGCGAAAAGCTAGGCAAATACTTCGCTTAGAAACAGTAATATTTGCTATGAAACAAGAATATTCTGCAAGAAAGTAAGAAAAGAATGCTAAACTACTATATAACATCAATCAGTGCGGGCACCTCGAGGCTTTGTAATGGTTAGCAATCTAAGCAAGTACGACTGAGTAGTGAGTTCGATCCTCACTGGGTGCCCCCTACATTCGGCCTTGTGCCATATCTGAACTACGCTTGGAAAATCACTATATCATTATTTAGAGTACCTCGGCGTGGTGTAATGGTTAGCAAGTTTGTCTTGCTAGAACAATTACGACTCCTTTGTGAATTCGATTCTTACTGGGTGGCCCATACATTCGGCCTTGTGCCACATCTAAGCTATGCTTTTAAAATCACTTTCGCTACAGCAATTATGACTGAATAGGGAGCTCGATCCTCACTGGGTGCCCCCTACATTCGGCCTTGTACTATATCAAAACTACGCATGGAAAATCACTATATCATTATTTAGGCCACCTAGGCGTAATGCTTAGCAAGCTTGTCTCGCTAGAACAATCACGACTGAGTAGTGAGTTCGACCCTCACTGGGTGCCCCATACTTTCGGCCTTGTGCCACATTTAAGCTACGCTTGGAAAATCACTATAATATCAGTCAATATCCTCACTGATAAAGCAAAGTCTTGGGGCGACAGAAATGTGGGCCTGCAGATGGATGCTAAGAATAACATAGACGGTGCATTTAAAAAAGGAGGAAGTTTTAACAAAAATAGAAAGTAAACGGTCCCTTATAATTAGGATCCGAAAAAACTTTTGTTTCACGGTATATCAACAACTCAATGGGTTATTTAATGCCCAAAATATGTTTCAATCAATTTTTATTTTATTTATTTATTGAGATAATAACAGTTTTAGTGATACAAGTCTTACTAATTAACCCATAGCTGCGAGGAAAAAGCGGCGGGTTCATGCCTTCCCGTATTTGCGCGTAAGGAAATACAACGAACCCGATTGGAATTGGAACTGGGCTCTCCGATTTCCAATTCAGAGCCGTTACACAAACCGCATATCCAAGCTTACAGCACCTGATATTCCCAAGTGGTCACCTATCAAAGTACTGACCAGGCTCGATATTGCTTAACTTCGGTGTTTTAAGCGGTGTCTCAAATTGATGTGGTCGTAATTCTCAATGAGGAAAATAGGCTCGGAAATTTGACACTCTAAATGATCAGAGGAAGACGGCGGGCTATCGAACTGGTGAGTTAAATGGCAAAAAGACAACACTGGTGAGAGCTGTAAGGAATAGGAAGCCGTGGAGAATCATGATTGCGCACATCCTGAAGGGACGTGGAATTTCACAGGTGAATAACTTTTCAAATGATATTCTTGTGACCCTTACGCGGAATCATGTCAGCGTTTTGTCGCAACAGGTTTCTTTCTCTACCCAGGTGAATAATGGCATTACCCTGACCATAAGATTTTTAAAACTTCTAGAGCTCCCGGTTTAGGCAGTGGTATTTTTTTCTTTAGTTTTATATATATATATATATATATATGTATAATTAAAAACAGACCACTTTAAGGTACCATTAAGTCTGTTTTTCATTAAATATTAGCTCTGTATTCATTGAGCTCTCAGGATTTCATCCTCCTTGGAATTACCCATTCGGTTTACCAAGTTCTTCGTAACTTATATATATATATATATATATATATATATATCAAACCATCCATTTCTGTCCGAATTTTGATGTATTTTCTCTGATTATCTATGACCTCCTTCCATCTATTAACATGCTTACTATCAGGTCATCCCATAAGTTCTGTCCGAATTTTGAATAAAGAAAACAAGTGACCAAATGTTACATTTAATTACAGATTCAATCAACAATGTATTTTCCCTGATTATCTATGACTTCCTTCCATCTATTAACAAGCTTACTAATTCCATTACTGTAAAATTCTTTTGGCTTTGATTCGAAGAACTCACAAATGTCAGTTTTAACCTCTTCCTCTGTTACAAAAGCTGTTTCTTCCAAATGATTCTGTAAGCTACGAAACAAATGGTAGTCTGAAGGAGCAAGATCGGGAGAATAAGGTGGATGAGGAATTTTCTCCCAACCAAGTTCTTCGATCTTTTGTGACGTGATGCTTGCTGTGTGGGGTCGCGCATTGTCCTGATGAAACATCACCTCTTTTCGATTCACTAGAGTAGGTCTTTTTCCTCAAAGCTTGGTTCAAACGCTCTAATTGCTGACAGTATATTTGAGCATTAATTGTTGCATTAGGTGGTAAGAATTCAAAGTGGATTATTCCTTGGCGATCCCACCAGATTGAAAGAAGAACCTTTTGCCCATGAAGTTCCCTTCTCGGCTGTGGCTGGGGTCCTTCCCCTTTACCAAGCCCCTGTCTACGACGCTTAACATTTCGATAAAAGATCCATTTTTCGTCGCCAGTCACAAGTCTATCCAAAAATGGTGAAACAAGTTGGTGAAAATAAAGAGAAGAGCAGATGTCAACTCGGAATTTGAGGTTGTTTTCAGACAATGCATGAGGCACCCATTTTCCAAGTTTAGGAACTTTTCCGATGAACAGTTGTATGGTTTGAACTGAGAACCACTGCCAATTTCTCAACTGATAAAGCAGAATTTTCTTCAAGGGCTGCTTCAAGAAGCTTTTCATCAAACTCAACTGGACGTCCGGTTCGATTTTCATCTTCAAGGGTGAAATCTCCACCTCTGAATTTTGCAAACCATCTTCTGCAAGTTCTTTCATTCCCATTCCTCTCCATAAACTGAGTGAATGTTTCTAGCTGCTTCGGCTGCTGAGTTTCCTTTCTTGAACTCATAAAGCATTATGTGCCTCAAATGATTCTTGGGTACTTCCATGTTAGCAGGGTTTTAATCAAACAAAATTTAATTTTATTGTTCTCTGAAATAAAATTTGATCAGTTTAAATGCATCTAAACATAAAAATAATGTTTCAGCTCCATTAGACATTCTAAAATACTCTTTAAATTTCGTTCATTTTAACAAAAGTTAAAATTCGGACAGAACTTATGGGATGACCTGATATATATATATATATATATATATATATATATATATATATATATATATATATATATATATATATATATATGGGGGATAACGATAGATATAGTTTGATATATCAAGAACAATCTTTGATGTATGACAAAGTATAAAATGTTTTCGTGTGATGTCGTTCATCCTTTTGGAAGTCCGAAAGGAAGAAACGCCTCAAACGAAAATTTTATACTTATACATCTTTCCTCCATATACATATATATATATATATATATATATATATATATATATATATATATATATATATATATGTGTGTGTGTGTGTGTGTGTATATATACATATATATATATATATATATATATATATATATATATATATATATATATATATATATATATATATATATATATATATATATATTTATCTTAAGGATAAATGGGCTCAATATCAGAGATAGAGCGTGTGTAAATATAAAAAGTGAACATAGAAGCCAACAGAGGCGACAGTCTGTTTCATGCTTGATGCAATCCTCAGGCCACGAGTGCTGCTATTTTTCTCGGCTATTTATAATATATAAATTCATCTAGCATAAAACAGACTGTCGCCTCTAAATGTTGACTTCTATGTTCACTTCTATATATATATATATATATATATATATATATATAATAAAAAGGCTTAAACACTAATATCACCATGGTCATAATGTATTCCATTGGAATCGTAAATACGATCCAATTCATCAGACCTACAAATTCAAAAAGAAAACAGAAAAAAACAACTCCGGGAATAAAAAATAAAATTTAGTGAGAGTGTATGTATGCATATTATGTGATAAATCTTCAGAAACTATTAACCAACTTGTATCAGATTGCGCGGTGTTAGCTGAAGGAAACTGCAAGAAACTGGTGTGAACACCACCCAGGACCTTGTAACAATTTTGGGGGACTTTGCAATACACACGGACAGAACAATCAAAGCTAATCGCCCAGACATCGTGATCAAAGACCGCAAAAAACAGAATTTACTTTCTTATTGAAATGGCACTCCCTGCAGATTGCAATGCATATTTAAAGACTTTCAAAAACTATCAAAATGCAAGGATCTTAATGTATACATCTCAAAAATGTGGCACACGAGGACATCAGTAATTCCAGTTGTAGTTTGAGTACTTGGATTGATTGGAAAAGTTTGCGATAGACTCATTGAAGGGATTCCTCGTAGCCCATGTCTTAAAAAAATACAACAAATTGTACTCCTAAGTGCAGCTTATACATTTGCGAGAGATTTATTTATCTAAAATGTATGTGATCTTAGGTTTGTGTTTTTTTTTTTTTGTTGTTGTTGTTGTTTTTTTGGGGTGGGGGGGTCGCAAAAATGATCTGTGGAAAATGTCATGATGTCATTTCTGGCCTCGGGTCTTAAAAACCGGGACCCGGAAGGAAATGTGTATACAACAGAAATCAAAGGAAATTGTGGCATATGGGAACATCAACAATCCCTGTTGTAGTTGGAGCCCTAGGACTGGTTGGAAAAGATTGCAGTAGACTAATTGAAGGGATTCCTGGAAGTCCTGTCTCAAGGAGATACAAAAAATTGTTCTGACAAGTACAGCCCACACCTTACGAAGGGCTTTATCTATGTAATTTAATTTTTTTTTTTTTTTCTGTCAGTGGAAAGTGTCATGACGCCATTTCTAAGCTTAGGTCCCTGGGCGGGACCCGGAAAGAAATGTGTAAACGCCAGAAATCAAAGAAAATAATAATAATAATAATGATAATAATAATAATAATAATAATAATTTCTTACCTGCTACACTTTTCTTTTTTCTTTCTGATATTTCCCTTATTCTTTCTTTTTCTCTTCAACGTGACGTTTATTTTTCTTCTTTATTCTCGCACAGATTTTCTTTTGTCTTTTCTTTTCGTTTTTCTTTTTTTTTTTTTTTTTTTTTTTTTTTTTTGAAACCACAAACCTAAAAGGCAACTTCTTGTGAGTAGAACGGAAATAAAATTATAAATAAATAAACCAAAACTCAAAAGTCAAGTAATAAAGTCTTAACAATCCTGTGGTTTTGTGTAGTGAGTGCAGATATCGGGAGGGAAACATTAATGGAGGTGATTACCCGGATCCCTATTTAGAACTGAGAACTTGCATTTCGCTAATCTTCGTTTCATCCAACTCCAGACCATAAATCTACTTAAAGTACTTCTAAATTTTTTCCTTCCATTTCTTCTGCCGCCAATGGCATCGTAACCGGTTTTTTTTACCGTTTATGAAGAAGCTTTTTACAGACAACCATTTCTTTCTTTTGTCTATGTATACATTATTATTTTGTTTAGTCAGATTTACAATATTTGTTTTCTCCCCTTTATGTTTCCTTTCGATTTGACTCTTCTGTTTTTCCATTTTTTTTTTACTTTTTTTTGTTTGCATATTTCTTTCTTTACGTCTTTCTTTCTGTCTTTATACTATTCCATTGTTTTCTTTTCTTTTCTTTCTTTCATTCTGCTTTGAATTTATTTAATATTGCATCGTTTTACATTTTTCTTTCTTTCTTATTTCTTTTATCTGGAAATTAACTTTCTGTATTAGAGTGTCTTCTTTCTTTTCTTTTCTTTTCTTTTCTTCTTTCTCTTTCTTTTCATTCTTTCGTCCATACACGCATTATTATTTTATTTAGTCTTTCAGTATTGTCCTTGCTTTTCTCTTTCCCTTCTTATTTTCCTTTTGTTCGTCTGTTTCTTTCTTTCTTTTTTCTATCTTTCTTTCTTTCTATCTTTCTTTCTTTCTTTCTATCTTTCTTTCTATCTTTCTTTCTTTCTATCTTTCTTTCTTTTTTCTTTCTTTCTTTTTTCTTTCTTTCTTTCTTTTATTTACTATTCCATTATTTTACTTTTCTACCTTTCTTTCTTCCTTTCTTTCTTTTATTCTGATTTGCTTTTATTTAATATTAAATTGTTTTTCTTTCGTCTTTCTTTTTTCATTCTTTTTTTTTTATATCTGGAAATAACCTTTTTTCTTCCGTTCCAGCGTCTCTTCTTTCTTTTTCAATTGTTCTTCCTTCATTTTAACATATATTTTTCTCCCCTGTCTCTTTCACTGTTTTTTCGT